TAGCGATAAAAAATAAAAATTAAGTTTGTCTGAGAAGCTGTTAATTAGCGGTCCTACGCTGCATTTAAGCAATAAATTAATTAATACACAACTCGCGGGGCCATTGAGAAAGGTTTCTCTGTAAGGAAAGGTTTTTACCGTGCTCTAGTGGTAGGCGGTAATAGCTCGAGTATTTTCCGAGGTGTGAGAAATTGATATCAGAATTTTTGATTTGAACGCGAACCTCGGCAGGTTTCAGAGCATATCCTTGCAGTTGATTTTGCGCTTTGTCCAAGCAATTTATATATATATATATATATATATATATATATATATATATACAAATATATATATATACATATATACATATATATATATATATATAAATACAAATGTGAAAGAAGGAAATTGTTACTAGTTACTCGAGTTTCAGGCTCTAGGCGATCATCTGTCTGATGCACATTTCTGCATCGAGCACTCCAAGGACAAGTGAAACAGCTTTATTTCTTGTTTATTCGTTTATATATCTAATTATATATATATACTAATTGTGAATTGTAGCCAGCACTGTTATATGTATATGCCGTATTTAATCGAATAAGCGCCGCCCTCGATCATGCGCCGCCCTCGATCATGCGCCGCCCTCGATCATGCGCCGCCCTCGATCATGCGTCGCCCTCGATCATGCGCCGCCCTCGATCATGCGCCGCCCTCGAATAAGCGCCGCATCTGGGACAAAAAAAGTTAATAGGCGTCGCCCTCGAATAAGCGCCGCGCCCCCGATGCGGCGCTTATTCGAGGAATTCCATACAACAGGGAAAAAAACTATAAAACAATTTTAACACATCATCGGCAATTTATATTTTTTAAATGTGATGTTCTTTAGTTCAAAGTGACTGTATTTCTTTGCTCGGGTTATCATGAAACGCTCGGGGCTTTTTCACCGCATGAATTTCTCTCGTAATTCTAGATTTACTATCAGTTTAGCATCAGTCCATAGAAAGTGTACTGTTGAATAAAAATATAGAAAAAGTAAATTTGTCTGGTACAATTTTTAAATAAGCGCCGCCCTCGCATAAGCACCGCACTTGTGGTGCGTAAAATTAAATGAGCGCCACGGTGCTTATTCGAGTTAATACGGTATATATGGCCAAAAAAATCGAGGAAACCCGAAGACCGAAAACCGAAAACCAAGCTCTAAAGCTAAGCGCTTCTCGACCCATTTCTCCCTCTCTTATTAGAGGGGGGACCTTATTAGAGGATTTACTGTATGCGCTGTTTAACAACCATACCATGATCGTTCAAAATCTGGCGTTCACTTGTTTTCAAAAGTCTGCTGCGATCTCTGATGAATACTGAGTGGAAATATTTATCAATAGTTCAAAAATTTTCTCGTCGGTAGAGAAGAAATATCGAACAAGCCTGTTTTGGTCTGAAAGCCCAGTCAGAACATAACAGTTATACTCATCGGCGACTGATGCGAAGTTGTTGGAATTCATGGTACAAAATGCTATATGGGTTTGTGTATGGAGTTCAAGGATCATTTGTGAGGAAAACATTTTTTATCAGCGACGCATCACACCGGTCAGTTTGCTACCATGAGTTCCGTAGGACAAAGGAATAGAGTGACGTAAAATATAGTCCGTTAAAAATCACTCATATGTCTTCGAAAAAGAGATTAAGGAAAAAAATAAGACATTTTAAAAAGGAAGCTTTAGTTGCAGTGTAAATTATACCAAAAAAGAGAAGATTTTGTGCAGAAGTTATCAATACAAACTACAATGGCTCTACCTTCTAGTGCATTTGGTCAGTCATGATGTAAGAGAGACTCTTCGAAACATAAATCTGTTAAAGTATATAGGAGTTTTTTTTTTCATCTTTTTTTATCGGCAATTATTTTTCGGCCTTTTGACAAGTTTAAGGATTAGAACTCTACTTATCAGTGTGCCGAATAAATAAAAAGCCGCAGTGGAATTTTTCTTTTGATCTAAAGGGTAACGGACATATTTTTCATAAAAAAAAACCACCCTGATTGTTCTTAACATTTGAGAGAACTTTGCCAAATTCTCTCCAAGAACATTTCCTATCTTAGAAAAGATCAAGCTAGAGGTTCTTCAACAGTTAAACGACGGTAAAAGTTCCGAAACGTGAAAATGCAGGATAGAATTAATGAAACTTCATTTTCATTTTCATTTTTCTTTGCCCGCAGGAAACGGAAATCAGAGAACGAAAGCTGATATATTATGGTCGGCATTATCAAGAAAGATAGATAAATGACGAAAGACTTTCGCATCCGAATATTATAATAATAATATTAATAATAATAATNAGAATGTCCATCCATTTCTTGATATTATAGAAAGGTAGCGCATTCTCCTCAGTTATTTTAAGACCTTGAGTGTTGGTCCGGCCGGGGCTCGAACCATCGACCTCGACCTCCCGCACAACAGTCCAGCGCTCTAACCATTGAGCTAACCGGGAGGCGGTGAAAAATACTTTAGTGAAAAATTTTGAGGCACATGGATTCACGAAAAATGTTGTTCATTGGCCACGATCGGGGTGAAAAGCAAAATTTTGATTATTGGTTCGGTTCAGTTCTCTTCAGAACTGTCTCTCCACAGGGAACCCACACAAGCGGCGTATCTGGACGTTTGTTCGAAATATAAAGAAATGTATGGGAGAATATTGAAGAGTCGTAATATCGTAGACTTATATCAAGGAATGTCTATGTTAAGGCTCAAAATAAATGTAAACCTACCTCACTTGCTGTGTATTGTCGTTTCTGTGGTTCTAAATGGCGAATTTGAGCGATTCAGGGTAGATTTTGCGTTGAGTGTACAGTAAATAATATCAATAATATTACCGGATTTGGACGCCACACTAGTGTTTGGTGTCAAAGCTACCGTATCTCTGGAAGGAATCTGTGTTGTCTGAGACCAAAGATTCAGTGTAGAATATTCAAACTTGTCGATCTTGTATACAGATGAACTTCTACAAATTGCAAAGTTTAGCCATAGAACGCCGGCTTTGTGTTCAATGAAGTAAAACGTGTTTTAGAGTTCAATGGAACAATGCCGACTTATATTCTCCGTCGTCCACACGTTTGAACAAACTTAACAATTGAATACAGAGGTAGAAACTGTTCGACCACTGAAACAGTGGAACATATACAGAATGCCCAAAATATAAACGTGATTCACATTAAAACAAGTTTTTCTTCGGAGAAGTAAATATATTGACACGATGAAAGAAAATCTACAAGGAATGAGAAACGCACTAAACGCAGAACGCTGGAAAAAGAAGCTTCGAGTTTGTTTCAAGGAAGTTGGACAAAAAAACGTATCACAACGCAGGGACCGTGATCGCCATTAGGCTTGACATATGCGTATGATTTAGGACGTTCCTTCTGATTTTCTAAACTTTCCGTCCGATTCTGGAGGCTTCCGCTCAATTTCGGAAGCCATCGTCTTATTTCGAAGACTCTCATCCGATTTCGGAGACCGCCATCAGATTTCGGATATTTCCATACGAATCTGTACACTACCGTTTTATTTCGAATCTCTATAAATTTATTTGGTATTGAATGGCTTAGATTGTTGTATTTCATTGTGTCTAGTCATAAACCATGGGTAATAATTGATTTGGCTTTTTTTTTTTACTGACCCACTTGTAAAATATAGGATATATTTATCCTTTTGTGTGTATACGTTGAGGGACACTCATTAGCCTGTAAGGAGCATAGAAATTGTGTGGACTCATGTCCACGCGCGACACGTGACTCGCGAGTGTCATGTTCAAGTACGTGGCTTTCAAGTCATGATTACGTTTGTTTTAGATTCTCCTTCCCGTAACAACTAAAATCATGAAATACAGAGTCGTATCCGCCTGTTATCTCTATTGTCGTTTGTTTGGTTCACTTTAACGCAGCACTTTCAAAGAATATATAGGCTGAACTGGCAGATTTCACCAACCTTAAACCTCGTTCGTTTCGTGTTACCAGAGTACGGTGGTTTTCCGTTGTGTAAACTCCGTGTTCATTGTGAAACAGGTTGTTTTGCCGCCGTGATCATCAGATCCAACCAAAATACACTCTTTTTTCGTTGTCTCTATCGATCGCACCTATCGACACATCGATATATCAACCGCTTCCATGACACATCAACAAACAGGGCCAACTAAGAACTACTGCCGGACAGTTCCAAAGGCCGTTTTACGTATGATGTGTCTCTCAGCGGATATCAGCTTTATTTTGATTACGCTCGCATGAAATGCCAAACAAATCGCACACATGCTTTCCTGTGTTGTGTCTTAAGATGAGGCAGACACGGTTTTAATGCATTTTTCTGTCCAATCCCTTAATCCTGGAGTTCTGTTTCATGAATTTTTATTACTCCACACACGTGTGATGAAAGTCGGCATAAAACTTTTAATCATAAGTTTCCGTCTTAATTCACTGGATTACTAAACGTTTATGGAAATGAAATATACGCTTCAGATCATTTTCAGTAAAGAAAAATCCCTTTAAAATTCCATCTGGTCTTAGAGTTGCATCAGACATGCGCTTATTTTCCGGAAACTTCCTAAAAGAATTGTAACCGAAATGTTAATCTTCACTTCCTTTCGCAAGAAGACCCCTGCCTATATATTTTAGCGATAAAAAACTAATTGAAGTCATTCGTACATCAGAATACATCATGTTTTGCGTTCAGTATAGCTTGGGCAACAAAGTTTCATGGTTGTTATAAGTATGAACGTTTTGCGCTACTAAAAAAAATCTTAGATCTTAAAGTGATGTTTCCGAATAAAACTTCTGGTGGGAAGCACGAAGGCAGATAAACATCTCAAGCTTTTGTTGGAATAAGAACCTACTTAAAAGAATTTTCTTAAAAACTACCAGGTATATATATTTATCAAAACAAGACAAGGGGAGAAAAACCGTAGGGGTTATTTTCGAATTGTTTAGTCAGTATAACTTTCTGTCTCAGGTAATATGATACTCCTGCAATAGAACGCGCCCGATGTTTTTATAATACATTAAAAATGACCGTATTCAAAGCAATTCAATCTCCCGATAAACTCTATACAATAATTGTTTCTTCTGGAAAAATTTCAATCTGAAAAAAAAAAAAACGCCTGCGAACTTGTGTGGCTGCAACGAGGCCGCTGCCTGAGAATCACTGGTCATCAGAATTCAGACAATAGAACACGTGTGTAGCAAATCCTTCGCTTTGTTTCCAAAACAGTGAGACGCTGTGCATTGTAACGAATAAAAATGGAGGAAAGTTCCAATCTAATGTAGACCGCAAAAGCTGCTTTCGAATTTTAAAAGTAGCCCGAATTTTTTTCGAAGCGTAATGGTGGATACGCGCATTCCGCATTGGCGTCAGTGCGCAACAATAACCGTTCCTTAGTAGCAGCAATGCGCTTACCGTAATTGTTCCAGTTGATACTTAATTATTGCTGCACGCGTGCCAAACAATATATACTCAATTATTCCTGTTATCAAGAGTAAATACAAAGTACACAAGGTGTTTCTGAATACAAAAAACGCGTAACTTTTTCTTACTAATATGTCTATCATTAAATTCATATCAGGGAGTGTAATTCACAGTCGCGGACCGGGTGCGATGTTGGCGGCGTGTTCTCCCTTCTTTCTTTCTTTAAAACAAGTGCTGCCACTCGCTCCTCTCTGGTCGCAATGGGAAATGTAAATATATATTTTACACGGCATTTTATACTTACAATACTCATCTTGGCTTTTGGTAAGTTGTTCTTTTAGTGCGAGATAGATTTCTGATTGTTATTCTAACCCTAAACCCAGGCTTGTCGTCACAAGAAATCTTCGAGAAATCTTCGGTAACTTTGAAAAGCATTTTTTAAAACCTTTCTGATCACAGAGTTTCTAAAGCTGACTTTTCGAGCCTTAGCCCTTCGTCAGAGCCAGTGTTTCAATCCAATCTAGTGTTTCGTTCCGACGGCTTTTACAATTTTCTCCGGTGGCCAATTCACATCAAAACCAAATTATCTTGTAATATCCACTACCGACGCGGCAACGGAATTTCTTTAGAACTAACCCTCTCGATAACTCTAGCCATAAAGTTATGCCTGAGCTAAGGTTTAATAGGCAGGGGTCGGACTTACGCTTTTGGTGTTTACATTGGACATAAAATCTGTCATCGCGTGCTTGCGACAAGTGCGACCCTTTTGTCGCAACCAGACATAACTATGTCCGAAGGACCTAAAGATAAAAAAAGCCGATGTCCTGCCTCGAGGCAGGCCATATCTCGTCTTATCGCCTTAAAATAACAATTTTTGTTTTTCTTCTGTCGCAACGTCGATCAAATCTGAAATACTAGCAAAAATTTGGATTTTCGCAATTCAATATTTTAGTCACAGGTTTTCTCGACACACGTTTTATCTGGTCCCTGTGGCGAATTTCAACCCATACCAATTTACAAATTTGCACTATTCCCCTGATTATTTTCAGTATGGGAATGGCTTCTTTTCACCCTTTGGCTCGCAGATATTTTCCCTTTTTTTCGCAACCGNCACTAAGTTCCCGATAATGGGAAGTTTTCAGGGTGTAGTGGCATAGAAAAGTTAAATGGGGGCTGGGACACACTAATATCCTGTTGAATTTGCATGCTGACCAGGTTGTTTTGTTATAATAAAGCATCATTTATTTCCAAGATGAAAAGGACATCAGGACTCCCTTTCCTCTTCAATCCGTTTTCACGAGAAGATGCCTACTACACCAGCGACTAATTGTTATTTTTTCTCGCCAAAAAAAGAGGGATTCGCATGCACCCTGGACCTAATTTCGTGCCCGGATCCTACCGTGTTACTGTAATTGATCTGTCCCACCGCTTGGCCGTGGATGGTCTGGGTAAAAGATTACCCTAGACCTTCCCCCTATTCTGTTTGTCCTCCCCTTTTCCCTCGAGAGTATTCCGATTGCAGATCTCCTGAAACCGCTGTTATATTAAACATGCTAGCATGAGTCGCAGTTAAATTGCAAACCAATTTATTGTCAATTTTTTTTCCGGTTCATATCATAGACATTGCCTCCGCACTCGGCAGCCGCTCTTGTGTATCTTGTCGGAAATCCTCTGCACATTGTAACAAGATAACGGGTGTATGTAACAGCAACTGCGGTCGAACAAAGCTTTGTAGAAGAGCAGACGACTTATGCCTCGCAACGTGGCGTTGGAAAGGCCAAAAGTTGTTGATGTTCACAAGTTGTTTTCCTCTTCCTCCTTTTTCCAATCCCTCTCATTACCAAGCGAAGTGCGAGTCAAAGACTTTACATGGAACGAGAACTTGTTTGTGTCAGGGTAGCAACTGCAACAGAAATCCAATCGAGCCTGTCAGGGACAACGCAAAACAAGCTTTTGGAAGAGCAAAACCGAAAGTTTTGCGGCAAACAAGTGAGTACAAGTTTTTTTGAAATAATTGTACTTTTTTGCAGAGTTTTCTTCTTGTCGAGCGTAAATTGTACGGATAACTTTGTAAACTTAATTAAACGCTCTTAAAGGTTTTTTGTTTATAATCAATCGTTTTTTAGAGCTCCGTGGCACACGAAACTGAGGCCATTTTTATGGTCTCTGGTACCCGAGACAACCTTCCCCGTCAAGGCGACTATAATTTCTTTGGAGTTGTGTGTTGTAACAGCTGGTCCGTAATCATTTTTTGTGTAGACGTCATATTTCGGCGGTGTCCAGAAACAAATTCAGCCGTTTTCGTTTGGGCGGCAAGCCAAAGTGTTTATTTGAGAAAACGTTGTCCCGCCTGATTGGGTTACTCTACCTGCCGAGGCGAGACAACTCGCCCTAGCTTCCAAGTTGTCTCGTCCCCCGAGACGAGCTCGCCATACTTCAGCCCTCTCCGTTTATTTTCTCCGCTTTATTACATAAATTTTAAAAAGCACTAGTGATTCTTGCCATCTGATTGGCTCTTAGCAGTGTATGTTACTTACGAATCGTGCAAAATAGCGCCTTTTTCCAGTTGAGCCTTAAGAAACAGCCGTAAACAAATGGTCACTAGCATCCCAAGACGATCACGTTTACTATTTTTACCTTGAAGATGTACGATCTCCCCCTTACAGAAAACCTCAAATTTGTTCACCATTTGTCGTGCATTTAGGGAATCTTACTAACCCAGACGTTTTCTCAAGTAAGAAAAAGGAAACAACACCAGAACCAGAGATACAAAAGAAATCAAGTCAAGACATTTCTACAATTATGTGGATCAGTGTTACTGCTGCGCTGATTTTAGTGCTTATCACTGGGCTGATAAATTGCCTTCGAAAATGCAGCGATCCTGTGGATACCAAGTTAATGGAGGTAGCTGAAATTTTCACTCCGACTGGAGTGGACACTAAAGGGACTATGACAGCTTCTAGAGCGAGAGAGCTTGTAAGTTTAGAACAGGTGTTGTCCCAAGGAAGGTATGCTACTGTTTGGAAGGGTCGCTTTAAAGAACAGCTTGTTACTTTGAAGGTTTATCCAGAAGCAGCCAGATTGTCCTGGCAGAAAGAATGCGCCATATATGAGTTATTGTCCGGAGAACATCCAAATATTTCAAAGATTATTCACAAGGAAATTATTGGAGGAACAGACGAACCACTTTGGTTAGTTATGGAACATTGCGAGAATGGTTCACTTCGAGAATATCTGCTGAAGAAAGTTTTGAGTTGGAGAGAAGCAATCTTCTTGGCCAGCGGTTTTACACGTGGCGTTGCCTTTCTCCATTCGGAAAGCTTTGCCGATGGTCGTGCGAAAGTTGCTGTCATCCATCGGGATTTGAAAAGCACTAATATTTTTTAGTGAGGAAAGATGGAACTAGCGTTATCTCCCACTTTGGCCTGGCTTTGTCACTGGGCTGTACTGAAGATGGAAGGGAAAAGGTAGGAAGGTTTAGAATAGAGCTGTTAGAGGCGCGGCGGAAGACAAGAGGTGCTTTGTGTGGTGGCTAGGCAACACGAGTCTCCCATAATTCCACACACAGTGCACTAAGGCCAAACGAGTGACAATAAATCTTATATTTCGCAGTTTTGATGAGGAAGAGGTGGAAAGGAGAGGGTTCATCTGGAGTATTAGGAGGGTGGCTAAGTTCAAAGGTAAATTTCGAGATGGGGGCTTTTTAGAGAGTGTATGGTACCTAACTTCGTTCCAGGGCCTTTCTTCTTTCCGCTGTTGGGAGCAGAAAGGAGAGAGAGCCTAGAAAAGAAGTTGTAGGTTTTTTTTGTTATTTCTTTTAACTCAGAAATAATTGTTGATCATGTGATTTTGACAGATGCAAGTTGGAACATTTAGGTACATGTCTCCTGAGGAACTGTTAACCACTGTTGACTTAGACAGCACAGAAACCTTTAAACAAATGGATATTTACTCCATGGCACTAGTTCTTTGGGAAATTGTTTCGCGGTGTGCAGTTGCAGGTAAGGTAAATTTTCTAGAGTATGCTAAACATGTAAATTTTCCCAACTAAATTGCAGAAAAAAAATTCAGTACGATGATGTTGTCTTCGGGGTAGATTTATCCCAGGAGCTTTTCGGTTTTCAAGATGGCGGCTCCCTAGGCGAAGACCACGTAATGTGGTTGGTCCAGATTGTGCTATTGGTCAACAACCTGATTTTTGCATTACAAATTATTCGCGGTGGTCCGATTTTATTTAAATCACCAGTGTGATTACAGAATGGGCCATTTTTGATATATTAGTCCTAGATCATACTCGCGATTATCAAATGAGACTCCTTCTTCGTGGTTCTCTCGGTCATTCAATCACTTGTATGATTACAAACCTAATAATATAAATGAAGAAATTACGCGCGTTTGATTGGGCTGAAAACGAATGCATTTTCATGTAACACGAGCGCAAATTACAAATAGTGCGGGCGCATGCTGTCAAATTCTCGTCGGTCTTGACTTTCTGTGATGCTTTTTCCATGTTAATTGATACTAAGAAATAACATAATTTCGAGTGCAATTTGGTGTAAATAGGCACTTATAAATTCTTCAAAGACTAATATTGTACTCACCTTACAGGCTCGTGCAATTTTATTGTCTTTGAAAAATTCACTCTTGCTCATTTATACCAAATTGCACTCAAAATCATGTTATTACCTGTAAAAAGTGGAGTAAACGTAGTACTCTTACCATTATCAATATGATTATACAACCTAAAGGCCCTTTTTATTTCAGATCATAGCCCTAGTTCGTATAGACTACCGTTTTCGGAAATGGTCGGTACCGATGCAACAGTGGGTGATATGGTTGAAGTTGTTGCACTGCAGCAGTACAGGCCTCAGTTTCCGCGCACTAATTACGAGGTAAGGTATGATCAAAGAATATAACAGCGGTATCTAACAATGTTTATATTATAATCTGAATAATACACGCATTTTGATCGGTTCTTAACCATGATCTCTTGGGAGACACACGCATAGATGATGCCATGCACCATTAACAACATTTTACTTTTTTATCACATAATACAAATAGATTTCATTTTGCCGTGGGTCTGTATGTTATTATAACATAACCAAAGTAAAGCGTGCGCTCTGATTGGTCAATTCAGCGTCCACCATTTGCCCATGGGTGTGCGCTGCTGATGTGAGCAAATGCAGACTAGTTTTCCGCGCGCGCTTGTTTTTTCTGGTCACGTAAGATTTGTTAAATAAAAGGAAACTCTTTTGCTATAAAACAAATGGTAAACGCCATAGTGTACACTATTGAGTTATGGATGCACTTGGGAGGTTTGTTAAGCACTCAAGAAGTTAGAGTCGCTCTCGGCTATCGCCTCGCGCGACTCTTACGCTTCTTTCGTGCTTAGCAACCTCCCGCATGCATCCATAACTCTATAGTGTACGCTGTGTTGTTTACCGTTTGTTATATAGATCACAGAAGACACCATAATGCAGTAAGAACATCAGTTACTCGCTCGGCTATCTGTCCTGTGCTCCTTTTTAGTTCTTACCACATTTTGACGTCGTCACTGAACAGACGTAATGGACTGAATATTATGTGAGTTCTGATTGGTCGCTTCCTGTGATCTATGAGAGTAAATACGCATGGCTGTCGTCATACAAAAATGGTTTTCTTTGCTTTGAACAAGATGGCACAATTTCACCAAAGTTTTGGAAAGGAAGACTTTGAACAAATATAAATAAAATAACTGAGAGTAAGTGTAGTGTATGATGAAGAAAAAGAAAGCCAGCTTTTACTCGGTCGATGTAATTACCTATACAAATAGATTATTTTGGTTGGCGTTGCGTCTGTTCCAAAGGGACCATAAGCTCTTGGGCCACTTTTTTATTGACACCACAGCTTGGCACCATCTGTTACGTATAGCAAAATAGGATCTTTTTATTTTGTTTTCAGTAGCTTTGAATTGAAGTAAGAGTGTTATAATCCACAAGCGCTACTACTCTTCCCTCTCCAAAAGACTTTTTAACAGTTTCTTCCCAGTCCCTCATTGCCAAATCAAGAAAAGCTTCGATCATGAACACGTTATGAAATTATACCGCTCTAGAAATCCTTTATTATTTTTAAATGATAAAACCGACTGTGGTTGCTGATAATTTATCATCTTCGATGACGTAGGGCTTAAAAGCATTCTGTCAGACAGTGCAAGAATCTTGGGATCCAGACGCTGAGGCTCGTCTCACTGCAGTCTGCACCCTAGTGAGGCTCAACGAACTGATGACGATGGTACATGCGCGTGATGAGGATTGCAGTGAGCCTGCAATGTCCAGGCGAGCCCAATTTTGTTCCTGAACAAGTGCAGCCTTCACAAGACTTGGTAGAGCCTTTACATAGCTTATATTACAAATCCAATAACTCAAGATTTCCCTTACAGATTGCACCACATGCCACACCTGTACGCAGCAGTTTAGCAGGTCTGCAAGGCGTACAAACAGTTGAAATATTTCGATAAGAGATCTATGATTTTATTGCACAATACGATTGAACCAAATTAAATAAACTGACCGGTGACCAAGAAAAAATTTGCGGAAAAAGGAATTCACAGAATTGTACCTTGTAGTAAAAAACATGCGCAAAAAACATTATCGCTTCGGCTTGAGAGTTTCTTCGAAAATGTTAGGCTTGGGCAATGCGAGCGCGAGCCGCGACGGCGCGGCGAGAGGTCTGCTAGGGGTATGGAGACTAGCAATGATAATTTAGTAGTGGCAGATGGAAAATCTCATCCCCACCCTGGCGACAGGCTAATTTTACAATGACGCAAAACAAGTCACGCAAACCAGCCCCAGACTACAGATAGTTACCAAAAAGTTGTTATCTTGGTAACCTTCAGTATCACGATACTTTCTGTCCCTAGTATTAGGTCAAACAAATCTCACATCTCGGAAATGTTGAGGATTGCGCGGGTAATGAGATGGAATGCAAGAAATACGATCAGATCGAGTTAGCCTCGCGCCAAATTAAACTTTGCTCAGGGTGAGAGAAAAAGAAGCGAAGCTGGGATTTTATTGCCGAGTCATATTAGCAACATAAGCCGTCTTTCACCGATCAGTATCAAGGAATTTTAACGACACAGTTCCCACGATCACAAAGGCAGATTGTTTCATCGCGTGATTTAATAACATTCAGACACAGGACCTTAGACACACTTGACAGCTAATGTACATTTCGAGCAATTGTTGCAACGCAACCGGCATGATTACAGTAATCTCTCGGTTTGCACGAAAAGTTAAAGATTTGTCCCAACACCTATCACGCCGTTCTTGATCATCTCCTTTCGTGACAAAGAGAACATTCAGATTCACAAAGGCATCTCATATTGAAGTTGACCCTTGACTCAACGCGTACCGCGTTGCATAGTACCAAATTGTTCAACATAGAGGATTTTCTATATCTTTCGTGTCACAGGCTACGCCGCTAAAACAATACATCATTCAGAAGCTGCTTTAGCAGACATTTGATCGCCGCATGAAAGCGCCTCACAATCCCTTCACCGAGCTCGCCTATTCTGTTTCACCAGTTGACAGATTTCGCTAGGTGAAGTCCGTCTTTTCCGAAAGTCTTGCGCCTTTGTCGGCCTCTTTGCTGGTGTGTTATGCTGTAAACGAGCAAATTGCACCAGAAGGAAACCGTTTGCGAGATCTGTCGGTCAAACATGGTCTCTAAGAGCAACCTCTCGTTGGCTCTGCGTTTGTTCTTAGTGGTGTTTCTTCTTCTGAACGATGTGCACGCCCAAACAACCGCACCTGGAGGCGAAGGAGAAGGAGAAGGAGAAGGAGAAGGAGCAGAGGAAGGCGGCGGACAAGGAGGACAAGAAGGTAGGAAGAGCCAATTTGATATACAATATCGTGAAAAATATGCTGTAAATCAAGAACGCTCGCATCTTTGTAGACACAGCTATTTGCATGTTCATCAAAGTTCTGCTACTTAATCATTTATTGCGGGGTATCTGAAATGCTATGCTTTGGCTGACCTTCGCATTTAACACATAGATTGTCTAAAAATAAGCAAATAAGGGGGATGTTTTCTTAACCTTTGTTAGTTACCTTAAACCCTACAAGATAGGAAGGACAATTGTGAGAATGAACTATGAGAACTTCACCAACTTTACCTATTATGCAAATGTAATTATGGAATGGCGTAAGTTCGGCTCTCAAAGGCTGCTTTCATTGAAACAAAAGTCTACTGAGAAATTTTGATCATGGAGTCCGCAGCTTCGATATTAAAAGCTGAAATGGAAGGAATATAAATGCTTTCTGGAGGTTTTTGTTTACGTGCAGAACGCATTTCCTTGGTAGGTTTTTTCCGTTAGGCTATTTCAAACTAGAGAACAAATGAAAAGACAAAAGATATTGTTGGGTTGGATACATTATTCCTCTCTACCGATGAAAGGTTCCATGATTAGTTGTAAACATTGAATAGGCCACGATAATAAACATCGCGACGAAATAGAGACCGATGTTTTAGAAAACAAATAATTAAATGAATGTAAAGTTCGTAACTTGAAATCCCAAGTTATCTAACAAAGACCTCGCAAGTTGAATCCAGCTCACGCAATGTGGTAGAGAAGTTATCAGGAACGAATATAGTCGAGCGTAAGATTTGATCCCTCAGTAGTTCAGAGCGAGATGTTGAAAATTCTGCCTTCTACGGTTTTCAGAGCCTTTAGGTTCATACAGAATGTGAATGACTCTTTTTAATCCGAAATTGTCAAATGATACGTGTGAGAGGTAGTTATGCTTCGCGTACAGCAGTTTTAACAATAGGGCATTTTCTTCAAACTGTCTGCTTAAAATAAGTCACTCTACCGCTGCAAACTGCACACGAGAAATGTACCAACACCTGACTAATCGAAATTAATTTGCCAATTTTACAAATTCCTCTCAGTCAGGTGTTTCTCCATTCAGGGAAGTTTCCATTCAGAAAAAAAACAGAGACACAAGGCTTTTTTAATTATTCTTTATCCCAGTTTCACAAAGGTCTGTAAAGACGAGTTATTTCATGATGTCGTTTCCCGATCATGCGGGTTCCGATGATTTGACATTCTATTTTTATTTAGGCTTTGTACTTTCTAGTTATGGGTTTTGTTTTTCTTTTTGATCGATTGTTAAGGTCGGTTCTCCAACTTTTGAGAAAAGATTGTTGTTGGAGCACAAGTTTGATTGTGTTACATCAGAACCATCAGAAAATTTCTAAATCCTGTCCTGATCAAAAACTGAAAAAAAAAAAATTAAAATGTTGTTGTGCTTTTACATTTACACACTCAACATTTAAAACTAAAGCAGAAATTATTCTAATAAACTATTGAGACATCGTTGCCATAGTTGCGTTTCAAATCAGCTGTATTTGCAGAAATTTTTGCCTCACAGAGTTTGTTTGAACTCTCAAATCCATATAGTTGAGAAAAGTCAACAACATTATCGATAAAACACATTTAGTATGCCTATATACTCAAAGAAAGGAAAGATAATTCTGGTTATTTCAACAACAGACTGTCCACGAACGATAGAAACTGAGATTTATCCTAAGGGTTATCGGGGACCTCAGGGTTGTCTCGCGTGCAAGCGATGTAGCGCGTCCGGTTTAAACTGTAGATATCTAGACCCCTATATCAAATTAAAGCTTATAGGACTGGCTATCAGACTACACCAAAAATTATGAAAAAAATGAATTGTCGAATTTTTCACCACTTCTAAATATGAGCGCCCGAATCACCTTTTGAACGTTACATGTCAAAGCGAATTTTGTTTTTCGGTTATTAAATGTTCCTCCGTTTCCGGGGCCAATGCGTTCAAAAAACGGATCTGCGATTTGCCACATTCAACTTCAATGAAAAGTTACAGAACATTTTTGAAATAGGATTAAAAAAATGTGGAGTGATCGTACAAAAATCGCTCTTGAAAAAAAAAGTACCTAGAAATAAAAAATTGTGAAGGTGTAGTCTGATCGTCCGGGTGAGTGTAGTCCTGAGAAGGACTGTTGTCGGTGGCAGTGACTGACGTTTCGACAACCTGTGCGGAAGTCATCATCAGAGTCAAGTGAATGATTGTTGTCAGTAGAATGTTCTTATTCCAGTTCGTGTGAAATGATCGGTTGGTTTTGCCGTGATGTTATTGGCTGTAAGACTCAAGTAACGTAAGTCGGTCGTGATTGGTCTGTTTCGGTCTGTGGGTAAAGTTAGGTTGTTCTTTTTCGGTCGTTTGTGATGTTTATGTCGTGAATGAGTCGTTTGTATGGGGCGGGTAGTTGTTGACATCTGTTTAGGGGAGTCTGTTCTTAGTTAGTAAACCAACTTTCCAGAGTCAGTCGTTGAAAATAGTCAGTGCTGTAGGTTAGGCATTGCTATGATAAAAAGAAGTGTTACTTGAGTCAAAAATGCCATTTTGAGAACAGAAAAGAGTATCATTCAGGCCTGTTATTTATGGAAGAGGTGTTTGAGATGAACTTCCAGAGTTCTCTACCATTTTCCACTAATTTTGAGGTTGTTAAACTCTTTATAAGTTGGAAACCACAGTGATTTGGATAAAAATTTGAAACTATCATCAAACACTTTATAGTGCCTTTCTCCCTTCTCTTCAGGCTCAAATCCTTCCTAGACACTTTGTCTCATACATGCTTTACATGCATTAAACATCAGTGTTTGTTCACCGACTTTCCTCTTACTTAAAGATTCTAATTATAGCATGTTTTGCCCGTTTTGTTTTTTTATGTAAAGCTGACCAGCCCCCACCACCACCTCAAAAGGTAACTATAATTTAATTGTTGTTTTATAGGAGAGATTCTTTGAAAGTTTGGACAAAATGTGTTGTCCACGTGGTAACATTTAATTCAGTTTGCTAAGGGCCACAATGATCACTTTTCTGACCCGACCTACAGGCTTGGCAACAAGTTTTTGTACTCTCTATATTTTCCAATTCATATTTCTCCCAAAGAGTTTGTATCACTTCTTTTTCCAAAGATGAAAAAAGTCAGGCGTTCATAGTGCCCCTAGGGAGACACACCTGTCTAAACATTCCCTTCGGCACAATACACATATAGCTTTGTCTATACAACAAAAACAACCTTGTATCAATTAATGGAAGCTTTTCAAAGAACAAAAGTAATCATTTCAGCTGTAGTTGCAAGGACTAATTTCTCTTAGGTGGAAATGTTGTTTGATTTCCAGACGCCAAAGATTTCTGGATGGAGGTGATTTGACTTCCGGTCTAGTTCTCACTGGCAACCTCTACGGTCTAATTTTAATATTTTGTCTTTCTCAGATAGGGCCCCCTGGCGACCCTGGACCGAAAGGAGATAAGGTAACTGGATTTTAATTACCTGTAATCATTCCATAGCGAATATTTCGTGACATTTTACGCTCCAAACAATCACTTTCTCATTTTGCGTTGGCAAATGCTGGTCCATATATATATTCAGCAGCTTTACATTATTTAGTACGCTGTATAAGAGTACTTACAGTGTATCTAATAGGTGCAAGTTACGATGGTCACTCAAGGATGGAATTTTGACAGGAGGAGCTCTTTAGATTTAGTGCTTCAACTTATCTTCAATGGATTATTTTGCCATTCAATTAACTCCAAAGATTATTTAGTCTCTGCACGTGTTATCCCAGGCACATATGTAGTGTTAAGCTGTTATGATATCGAAGAATCAAGTTTACCTTTGTGAGTATCAATTTTGCGTCTTGCCGAAATTAATAAGAAATGATATAAGAAGTGTGAATGTATGGCAGAGATCATGGATGGTGATCTTGAAAGTGAATGGGTGAACTCAGGGCCTGAACCTGGAGTGTCCTCTTTATTCGCTGCATTGTTTCTAATAGGAATTGATTGGATCTTAGCCAATAAGCAAGCCAATGCTTGTACATAATTACTTAATGATTCATTTTGATGTTTTTAGGGAGATCAAGGAGATGCTGGAGAACAAGGACCACAGGGCTTGAGAGGGGATGCGGTAGGAGATACCTAAAGAGAAAGGATAAATAAATAACCTACACAAATGTATGCCTGGAGAGTGGAAAGCTATAGAAGTTAAGAGGGGTTATTTGCAAAATTCAGGCTCTAAACTTGTGATTTTTATTTTCCATCTTTGCCAAAAATAGTAATAAAGACAAAAACGACTTTTATGTCAGTATCAATTTCTTAAATTTATTTATATCTTGGAACTGAAATGTTATTCCTGGAAAATGCTTTCCAACTTTTAGGCTGCCATATTTCAACTTAGAGAAACTTGAGTGGGGAGTTCCGTAATCACTAACCTTGGTCAATGATAGTGTTCTTTACTGTTTTAATGAAGAAACTTTTATACAGAGCAAGTTTGATTCATTCACATTATTTTGGAACATTGGTGGTGTTAACCCAATGAAAGAAATTAGGTTCAAGAATTGATTACTATTTTTTTGCATTAGGTTTCAAAAAAGAACTTTTAAATTCTTGTTCACATTTAGTAATACAACAGACAACTTAATTCTACATATGCTTGATTAAAATTTCTGATAAACTAAACTTTTTGGTTAGCTCCTTCTCCTTGGTGCTGATGCAGCTTAATAAACATTAGCAATAGCTTGCTTGAAGGGCAAACTGATTTTTCCCTTTTCATCTCACCCTGGGCTGTGAATAAATCAGAGATAAGAAGACCAGGAGACAACAGTAGTTGGCCAGGTTATTGAGTGGTTGCCATGCATGTTGTTTTGTTTGATTACACTCGGACTGGAAAATAATAAGTTAAAAAATGTTCCAGAATGCTAGAAGTTCTCATGACCCTTTTTTCATTTTCTTAAATCAGAATCAAATCAGAAATTTAAACCTGTTTATACTGATAAGTTATGCATGTAATTCTTGTAAATTCTGGGTAGACCAGTAATGGCTGCTGTACAAATATCTTCAATGCTATTTCAATGATTGTAGGATTTTTCACAACTAATTATGGTAAAATTAGGTGATAGGGGCAAGCTAAAGATGGCAGACAAACAAGCCATTCTGTCTCAAGATTATTACCAGCCTTTCCTTAAACCAATCACTTATTTGTCACTTTAATGCTGCCATTTTTATGCAAACAGGGTCCTAATGGATTGGATGGTCTTAAAGGTGTTAGGGGCCCTCAAGGCCCTCCAGGGCCTCCAGGACCTCCAGGGCCCATCGTAACAGTTCCTCCTGATGGCGGACCTGGCCCAGATGAAGGTGGACCAGACCCAATTAGTATCGTTAGTGAGGTAACCATGTCAATATCTGAATTACTGTGTATTGTTAAACTTGGTGTTTTTCTGTTTTTTTTTTTAAAGAGCTTTGTAAAATGTGAAATTGAGTGGTTCTTTTGGCTATAATTGGGCAATGAGGAAATAGGTTCTGCTCTCTTTGGTTCTCTTTGTGAGATCAATGAAGTACTGTAACTGTATTTATCTGGATGTATAAACCAAACAATTTTTACACAAATTAAAACTAAAGTTGAGCAAAATTTGAGACAAAGAGAGGGTTCAGGTGTATAAATGGGAACTGGTGGATTGTCAGGGAAGCCTAATGAGATGGGTGGGTAGCCTTGCACCCTGTTCAGGGGGGGAGTAGTAATACTCGATTGCTTCATGCGCATGAAAACTGTGGCTAGATGGGCCACTTGGCTCTAGTGTAGACTTAACCCTTTAACTATTAGTTGATCTCATACCAAATTCCCCAAACTAAATTCTCCAAGCTACCTCTCTGGTATGAGATCAACTAATAATCCCCTTATTGATATTTTTTCTTTATTCTCATCACTTGTCTGCTTGATATTGTATTGATATTGTAAGGAGAAATTCGGTCTTGGTCACTCATGGGAGTTAAGGGTTTGGCCGCCTCCCGGTTACTCATGGTCTTAAAATAAGTGAGGAGAATTTGCTACTTTTCTATAATATCAAGAAATGGATAGAGATATTCTAGTCTTTGTGGATAAGGATGAATAAACAATAGGCCCCGTCTCCTGCAGGGTTAGGGGTAGGAGATGTTAATTTCCCATGCATGAGATTACTGTGTGGTGGATGTCCTCCCCTGGGGTGGGATGGGTGGGTGTTGCTCGGCATATCAGCATGTATTGCTAGGGGCCTAATCAGCCTGTACAACCCGAGTTGAAATAAAGTTACCTACCTAAACTTGCATTATAAGAATTGTATTGCAGACAGTAAGGAGAATTACAAACAAAATCTTAGCAATGAAAGGGTTGAGCTTCTGGCTTACCTTCAACTGGTTTGCACCGTGTCTTTTAGACAATTCCCTTTTTCAGCTTGAAGGGTAATCTTTTTCATTGACCCTTTGATTTTTTTTGTATCTTTTAAGATTCGCAGCCAAGATTCCAAAGGACCAATAGGAATAATCCAAACAGTTAAAGGAGAACGAGGAGTAGATGTAAGTTACGTCAGTTGTCATGATTCTGATAGTGATTCTCCCTTCACATTCTAATATGCAACCTTGGAAATTAGTGGGGAGAATTTGATTTGTAATCAGGATGACACCATCTGGCTGATAATATGTTGCTCTCTTCCTCCCCTGTGCAGTGAATGATACTTTGAAAGTGTACAGAGAAGTTACTTGTCAAACAGTTGTTGGGGTTCAAAGCTGTTGTTTATTAGCAATTAGTGTTTGAATTAAAGTAATACAGAGGAGCACTTGCTCAACAAATTGATTTGATGTTTTAACTTTGTGGATTGCATAAAAATTATGAATTTCATATTTAGGTGGGGTCTTCCTTGTAACCTTTAAGCTGGGACATGTTGACATGCCATATTAAATCTGAGGTCCACCTTACTTTATAAATTAATTGTTTGCTATTATAATTAGTGATTCTGTTTTTAATTGATTTTATTACTCTGTTGGCATGTTTGCCTTAAAAAAAAGATGAATTCCCCCCCCTTCTCTCATAAGGCTGCTTAAAACTCCCAAGATCTGATTGTTAGTTCTTCCCTCGCGCTGCTACGAATTTCCATGTAAATAGTCCATTTTACAGTTGTGTGCTTGGTTGCCAAGCCTTTGAGTGGGAGTTAAGCTGGGGTTGACCTTGTTATGATACAAACCTTGCTGCCTTTCAAATGTAAATCACTTTGTTATCATGCTAAGTAGATACAGGTCTCTATCACAACAAGGTCACCTTCAGCCTCACTCTGAATCAAAGGCTTGGCAACTAATTACACAACTGTAAAATGGCCTATTATAGTTTCAAGAGTTTGATGTAAGATAAGATAATTTCTACCTGACGTACATGTATGGATACTTACAGGGACAAGTTGCACATTAGTCACTTCTGGTAATTAAAGGGTTATTAAAGTAAAGAATAGTCAATGGTTTTTGATTGTTATTTTTGGATTCATTCTTAGGGTCCCCCTGGTTTAAGAGGATCTCCTGGTTTAAGAGGGCCAGAGGTAAGTGTAACCCTTTAATACAACCTAATTAACTTCAGTATGCATTGACTCCATACTGTTTTCTACACATTTCCTAAGGTAACAATTAATAGCGTCTTTCATTGGTGATCATTTCCTTTATATATTCTTGTGATCTTGATGTGTGATTCAGGGGTGATATTGTGAAGAGAATTATCTGCTTTAAACGCTGATGGTCAAAGGGCTAACAGTTTTGAGCAAGCAGTGTTGGTAGTGGGATGGGGGTATAGAAAACATTGCTGGGGCAAAGGGGGAAGAGGATATAGGAAACATGGGAGAAATGCAAATATGAAATCAAAACAGTTGTTCAATTTTAATCTCTGCAGTTCCATTTTTTTTAATGAAGGGTGCTAGTGAGTAAGGGGGAACGGAACGGGGAAAGCAGGGTATGGAGAAGTAGGGGACTCTCAATCCCCCTGTCCTACCATGTATTGAACCCGCTGCATCATGTATGATAATTTTCAATTCCAATTTGCAATTTGTCCATCTGATATTTCAAAAGTTTTGAAATTTGATTACCTTTTACACAAAGAAATATTAGCCACATCTCGGTTATTAGCCTATTACCATGTAAAGCAATAAAATTAATATGCTCTTTCTTTGTAGGGAGAACCTGGAGCTCCTGGAGCAATAGGTCCCCCAGGAGCAACTGGCAAACCAGTGAGTTTAACATGTGATCAATTCCTCTATTCTTGTGACCATAATGTTTGATTTACGTGTGATACTGTTACGAGAAGTTTGTTGTTGCTGAATGGTTAAAAAATCATGTTTTGACTGAGTAGTGCCTGAATCTGTCATCAATGATTGATAGAGAAATGAACTAGGAATGAAATTCAACCCTGAATCCGTTTTGTTTAAGACTTTGTAAGAGAAAACCAAAATTATGTGTGCTGGGCAGGGTTGTTATTGGGAAATATAGTAGACCTATGATCTTATTTGAGTTGGCAGCTGTACTGAATTACTGTAAATCTAACAAGTCCCTTGGGAGGGTTAATTTATTTCAGGTAGTTTGGGGGGATGGCTTATTGGGGGAAGGGGCTTATTAATTTAGCTGGATATTCACTACCGAAATACAAAAGGATATGATGTAACCTATTTATTAACAATTTGTTCTCATTTTATTTATCGTACTTACTGACATGGAGTGTGAGGTTTCAGATCTTTCTTTAAAGAGGGGGGCTTGTTATATTAGAGGGGGGTGGCTTATTAGAGGGAGGTGGCTTATTAGAGGGGGGTGGCTTATTAGAGGGAGGGGCTTAACAGGGGATTTATGGCATGCTTGTGTAGGAAAGATGGACCCACCCTTCTTGGGTGGGTCTAGGGGCATACCTCCCCTTCCCCAAATTTGACGTTTGGTCATTTTTGGTCCTTACTGGTATACTACCATTGCCTTAGGCCAATATTTCCCAGAATGGCCCTCATTCTTGGTTAATAATAAGTTGTTTTTTGAATGAAATCTCAGGGACAAGCAGGTCCACCAGGCAGCTCAGGTGAACCAGGAATGAATGGGGCAGATGTAAGTGACTCAGTTTTTGTGAGCGATGTATCAGAGAATGCCTCATGCACTAACAGAGCTCTCAAGTTGATTAGCAAACAGCAAGACATTGCCTGTGTCGCTTACCTCTGGGGGGAAGAGGCAGTATAGGGCATGCTTCTCTGAAAATTTGTGAAAAAATGAAGTAGCTATTATCAGTGGTTTCAAAACAAGCCGGTGACTGCCGGAGTTCCGCCGGCTACT